GGGGGGGGGGGGGCAAAGCTGGGATCTGTTGCTCCTGTTTGACCAAAGCCTGTGCAGTTTCCACTAAATACGGACTACTCCAGATGCCAAACGATGTTGCTAAAATAAGATGAAGCCTGTTGAAGCTGGATAATTACACGGGGACCCTCGTTGTGCCACTCTGTCTGCTTTTGCAGCGTGTTTGGGCTTAGTTCCCGACGAACGTTTCCCGGCACACCTCATTATTACTGATGGCTCTCCTCCCCTCCCCCCGCCCCCCTCGCCCAGATATCTCGCCATCGTTCACCCCTTGAAACCACGGATGAACTATCAAACGGCCTCCTACCTGATCGCTTTGGTCTGGGTGGTGTCCATCCTCATCGCCATCCCGTCGGCCTACTTCACCACGGAGACGGTCCTGTTCATCGTCAAAAACCAGGAGAAGATCTTCTGCGGCCAGATCTGGCCGGTGGACCAGCAGCTCTACTACAAGTCCTACTTCCTGTTCATCTTTGGCGTGGAGTTCGTGGGCCCCGTGGTGACCATGACCCTGTGCTACGCCAGGGTCTCCCGCGAGCTCTGGTTCAAGGCGGTGCCGGGCTTCCAGACGGAGCAGATCCGGAAGCGGCTGCGCTGCCGCAGGAAGACCGTGCTCGTGCTCATGTGCATCCTCACGGCCTACGTGCTGTGCTGGGCGCCCTTCTACGGCTTCACCATCGTGCGCGACTTCTTCCCCGCCGTGTTCGTCAAGGAGAAGCACTACCTCACGGCCTTCTACGTGGTCGAGTGCATCGCCATGAGCAACAGCATGATCAACACCGTGTGCTTCATGACGGTCAAGAACAACACCATGAAGTACTTCAAGAGGATGATGCAGCTCCACTGGCGGCCCGCGCACCACGGGAGCAAGTCCAGCGCCGACCTGGACCTCAAAACCAGCGGCACGCCGGCCACGGAAGAGGTGGACTGTATCAGGCTGAAATAACCCGCTGGCGTCCGGGAAGCCCGGAAGCCAGAACTCTGCGCATAATCCGCCGGTAGCCAAGTTAACGCTGGACTGCCCGGGGAAGGACAGCTGTGTTCCACGCCTCAAGGCCCTCGAGGAGCTAGAGGCTGCTCGGTCCTGACAGGCAGTGAGACTCGAGACAGGTAACAGCAGCTGAGATTGACTGAACACCTACTGTGTGCTGGCCGCACCAAGGAGATCCGACAAGGCCCCCATTACCTACTGTGGGCCAAAATTAAACAACAAGACAAAATGGCAGAAGCTGTTGGAATCACCAAGCTAGGGCCAGTCAGGGGCCTCAGATGGTTATCTCCACTCACTCTCCATCTCCCTGCCTGCATTCTGCATCTCATCAGGGCAGGAACATCAGAAGTCTATAGAATAAACCACTTAGCCATGACCAAACGTAAAGAGTTCATCAGAGTGTGGGGTTTATAGCCTCGTGGGAAGAGGGTTCATGCCATCCCATTGAACTTTCCCACTCAGTTCCTACTACCTCCCTAAAGGTATTCTCTAGGATTCTGGCTGCGAGAAAAACAATTTTCTCATAACCAGGCCATTGGTTATCTACAATGGTGTAATTTCAAAGGAAAGGACCAAAAAAATCTCTTTTCCACTGACTCTTGCAAGCTCATCATTCTTGTGGGTGAAGACATGCAGACCTGAAATGAGGAACACACCCAGTCCCTGACACCTTAGTGTAAAGGGTTTCAGGGCTTGTAAGGTCTGGGAGGAAGGGGACAGAGAAAGGGATGGAGCTTGCCATTGGCGATGAACACAATCTATGTGGCAAAGGTCTGGGTCACTTTCTAGGACAAGTCTCTTTTGAGAACAAACGAAATGAGCTCTACTTGGAAAGGAAAGGCCTGGGTTCAAGTCTTAATTCTAAGATTTATGTGACTGGCTGCTTATTCTCTCTGCTTCTTGGTTTTGCTTCAGCCAAACAAGGGTGATGAAAACACTTGTGCTGTCTCCCTTACAGGACTCTTGGGAGTGCCCACAGGGGCCATACGTGGTGGAAGTGCTTTTTAGCTCTACCAGTGATAAGAATGAAGAAGTGATATTGAGCAGTTTGGATAAGGGAAACCCCATCCACTGTAACTTAATGCGAACAAACGTTCCCAATTTTTCATTCCTGTTTTTCGGACCAGAGACCTCTGAACTCTTCACAGTGCAACCTATCCCCTGGGGCAAAAAAAAAGGAACCCCTGTCCTGGTTAAAATGTGGAAGATTTAACCTCAGAATTTCAGTGACACCTGCCCCTCCCCCCCAACCTCCTCAGAAGTGTTGACAATCTTCCCTGCATGTTGTTAAGCAGCACAGGCCTGGGCTGCATATGTTTGTATTATTATACATCCATGGTGATTGTGTGTATATGTTTTCAGTTCTTCCTTGGTCCTTCTGAAGCAGAGACTACAAATGGCCTGTGGTTTGGGATTGACCCATCCGCATTGGGATAACTCCTACTTTTCTCTAGAGAAAGGGTTTTTTGGGTTATTTGCTTGTTTGTTTCTTTTTTTTTTTTTTAATTTTTTTTTTTTTTAAGATTTTATTTATTTATTTGAGACAGAGAGAATGAGATAGAGAGAGCATGAGAGGGAGGAGGGTCAGAGGGAGAAGCAGACTCCCTGCCGAGCAGGGAGCCCGATGCGGGACTCGATCCCGGGACTCCAGGATCATGACCCGAGCCGAAGGCAGTCGCTTAACCAACTGAGCCACCCAGGCGCCCTGCTTGTTTGTTTCTTAATTAATGGTTTGTGTACCCAACAGTGAAGCTTCAATCAACATTTTCATTTTCTTCCATCACCACCCAGCACACTCACCTTCAGCCCAATCACTGTACCTCAGAAAACGCAAACTGACTTTAATATTAGCTTCAACCAAATGGTTTGTAAATTCTGTGTTTACAAAAATTACATAATGCATTCTAAAGCCAAGCAACTAAGTATTTGGAGTTATCTGCTTTTCTTACAGATACAACTGTGCTTTGATTTATTACCCCCATCCTGACTCTTCTCCTAATTAAAAGATTCTTTTAAGAGTAGACTGGGCATCAATTGTGTCTGACAAAAGAATTCAGACCCTTTTTCCTTTTTATCCTAAAATGTACCATCCTCCTTTAATTTAAAGTTAACTGAAACAGCTTTTGTAAATATCAGTGCGTATTTGTGATTTTCCAGTGAATAAGTGTTATGTTGCTATCCAATTAAATAATCAACATATGGAATCTTAACCACAGTATTCAAATGTTTTCCCCACTAATCTTTTATGTATGTTCATATATTTAGATATAAACAGTTAATATGTTTAAATATAAACAGTTCATATGTTTAGATATAAACCTAAACCGTTCAACCCTGAAACAGAGAAGAAACTTGTTGAAGGCTATTTAGAACAGTGGCAGCTCATGCCAGCATCCAGCCTCCCGTTGGTTACATGCATGCAAAAACTACTCCGTGCCTGTGTTACCCCTTCGTTTTCAAATCGTCTTGTTTGTGTAATGCATACTGCTGTTTGCATGGAGATTGTCCATTCACCTAACTGGTGTTAAAGTAATAAATAATTAATTGCATTTGTATTTACTCTGTTCTTCTCAAGACGAATTGATGATAAGTTTAAGAGACTTTTAATGAGCTCAGCTATGTCAACATTTATACATACTGTCATATATTGAAAATTTAAACCAGGTCCATTTCTTTGGCCAGAAAAAGAGAAAAGATGGCTTTGTGATGAAGCTATTAGAGGTTTTTCTTTCAGCATCCAATATCCAAATAAGTTGATTCTCAAACTAAAGAAATCAAAAGATGGCTTTGAGGTCCCAGGCACAAAAACCAATTCTAGACTTATGAGGGAGAATGTGACATGTGGGAGGTGATTAGAAAGCTTAAAAGAGTTCTTTTTCTAGGGGGAAATGATGGCTTTGAAATGTATCTCTTCAATTTAACCATTATTCTCCCTTGGGCTCAAGAAGACACACACACACACACACACACAAGCAGGAAATGACCTTTTAAGGGTATATGATTCAACTTACTCCTTGCTTAGGTGAGGAGATCTAAATTCCAAATGAAGAAAAGACTTGCTTAAGGACACACAGCAAACACTCATTGGAGCCAAAACATTGACCCAAGGTCTAACTCTGGTCCAGTGGAAACTGACTGCACTCAGTCACTGTACGCAGAGCCCAAAGGAGATGACCTTCTCTAAGAGTGTTTAAAGGGCCATTTAAACTGGTTTCTGACCTCCTGGGAGAATCTTAAATTGCTCAAAAGATACCTTCCCTCCCTCTATCAAGGAAAGAGTGCATCCCATCCATGTGACTTCATAATCCAGACTCCAGGATTCCAGAGAAACCAAAGAGGATTACACCACCACCCCTCTAGTGCTCCTGTGTTTCTTTTCGCTGCAAGAGAGGGAGGTCTGAACACATTGATTTGAAGGTACATGGAGCTATTTGGAAATGATGCTAGAGCATGAAGGAAAGCTGATCATGATGAGAGGTGACCCTGACCCAGATAGTGGGAGAACGGGTTCATATTCAAAGACAAAGCAAGTCTAGGGCCCCCAAGACAGAGCGTGCAATCTTCACCCAAGTCACTACCAGCTGGCCCTGAGCAGGGGTCATTCTTCATGCTTCCCAAGAACCAAATGCCTTCTGGTCACCAGGTCGGCCTCCCTCCTGAGGTATGGCAACCAGGCACACATTACCTCCTGGACTTGCTTGCGCCACCTACTCCTGTACAGATGTTCAAAGAGCTCCAAATATGGGACAGTTTCTCCAAGAGAGAAACTGGTATGAGAACAAGAAATAACATGTGCCTAATTCTGTGTTGAAATGGAGACACTGTAAACACAAGAATGGAATTCAGAAGACAATTTCCCTTCAGCCATGGGGATCAGAGAAGGTTTGGGGTGGTGGGGTAGTTAGGCAGAGCCCTGGACCATAGTGAATGGTTGGGGGAGGGCATCCCAGGCAAACGGGCCAGGATGAACAACAATGTAGAAGAGGGGAAATGAGATGGGATACACATGGAATGATGAATTATTTGGTTGGCACAAAGAATGCCGAGTGTTTAAAGGGAGAGCAGACTTGGGCAGCAGGCTGAAGAGCAGGATGAAGAAAGAGGCCAGGAGATAGTGATGGCCTGAAAGAGCCTGGGATACACAATCATACAGAATCAACTTCAAACAGTAATTCCTGCTTAACCGTGTGCATTTGGAAGATACCTTACCCCTTATCCAGGCCTTAGTTCCTTGTGTATTAAATGGGAGTAATAATAGTACCTCCATCATAGGATTATATGTGGATTAAATATATATCTTAGAAAAATGCATAGTACATCATAAGCAGTCAATAGATATTATCTATTATTTTTAGAATGATTAATTGTAGGAACAGAATTTCTTCTAGATGAATCCAGAACATTGTATCATGTATAATGGATATAATATTTGGGGGTTATCAAACCAGAGTATTTTTATTTTCTGTGATCTCAAGTCTCTGGTCATCTTGGATTCCCAACCATACCAGGCCAGCTCAAATCACAGGATTTTTTTCCATAATGTGAGGATGCCCTTCCACCATTAAGCCCAAGCCAGGAAGTTTAATAACCTTCAGGAAGGAGTCTATGATGTCAGGGAAGTCCTTTCCATAGAGGAAGAAAAAAACAAAGACCACTCCTTCCAGTCCCTATAAGATTAGGAAAGAAAGAAAAAAATGCTAGTTGAATACCAGAGGTATTTGTCCTTTTCTCCTTTATGGGCTAAATCTAGGTGGTGGAGGTGGGGATGCAATAGAAGCATCTAGGTTACAGGGAAGCCTAGGATCAAGAAGTAGGGAGGCACCAATGGAATGCTTCCCCAAGCTCACTCTTCCTCAGGCTCCTGTAAGAAGAGTCCTGCATATGACCCAGAGAGATTGTGAGCTGGTGCTTTAAGGGGCTGCATCGTGGTTGCCAGGTTTTGTGAGACACTCTTGACATGTGGTTGCATGCTTAAGCCTCTGTCACCTCACTTCATCATTTAAAGATGGTTAAATCCCCCGCCACCCCTGCCCCACCTGGAAGTCCTTGATGTAGGAGTGAGATCAGTGGGCAAAGTGAAATGTGGGTTGTTATCAGGGTTCCCTTGTTAATAGCTGTTGGGAGCACAAGGCACCTCACCTCATCCAGGAGTAGTTCAAAAAATAAGTTCTCTCAGGGCACCTGGGTGACTCAGTTGTTAAGCGGCTGACTTCTGCTCAGGTGGTGATCTCGGGTCCTGGGGTCGAGCCCCACATCAACCTCCCTGCTCAGTGGGGAATCTGCTTTTCCCTCTCCCTCTGCCCCTCCCTCCACTCATGTGTTCTCTCTCTCTCTCTCTCTTTCTTTCTTTCTCAAATAAATAAATAAAAATCTTTAGGGAAAAAAGTTCGCTCTCCTCGGAGAAAGAAAGAGGAGAAGGAGGGAGGGAGATACTGAGAGAGAGAGAACACATAGTCACATGCCTTTCCACCCGATTTAACAGCAGCTCACTGGAAAATGTGAAGGGTGAAGAGGTATGTCTACAAAATATGCAGATGGGGACTTCTGGAAGAGCTCATCCTCTGTGGGACCTGGAATGTCAAAAGCCTTGAACTGCCTTTTGAAACCCTGAGGGCATTCTCATGGACAGTGTTCCTCAGCACCAGAGAAAGTATGCCAAGGGGAGAGGGGTAGATCCTGGGTGAGGCAAATCCTTTGGGTAGACATGGAGTTTCTTAAAAAGTGAATGGGAGTCCCATGATAAGAATGAAAGAGGGGGAGCCTGGGTGGCTCAGTCGGTTAAGTGTGGACTCTTGATTTTGGCTCAGGTCATGATTCAGGGTCATGAGTTGGAGCCCCACGTCAGGCTCTGCGCTGGGCTGGGTGTGGAGCCTGCTTAAGATTTGCTCTCTCCCTCTCCCTCTGCCCCCCTCTCTGACTCATGTGCATGTGTGAGGACACACCCTCTCAAAAATTTTTAAAAATAAAATAAAACCTTAAAAAAAAAATGAAAGAGAAGTTGGTGCTCCCTTTTAAAGCAAGAACAAGATTTAAAAAAAAAAAAAAGTCTGTTTTCATCCCTTCCATTCAACCTGCAGTAGAAGTCAACATAAGATAAGAAAAATTATATAAGAATTATTTGCAGATAATATAATTGTCTACACAGAAAAACCAAAAGAATCTAGTAAAAACTAATAGAACTAATGAAAAAGTACAACAGGGTAGTCGGCTATAAGATCCAGAAACAAAAATCAGTAGTGAACTTGACAAGCTTATTGCAAAATTCATGCCAAGTCACCTTTTTAAAGAAGGGACTTATTTTACCAGAGACCAATATTTATTACAAAGCTATAGTCATTAAATAGGCCAAGGAAATAGAATAAAACCCCAGAGACAGATACAGATGCATTTATATATGGGATTGGCAAAAAAATCAAATTTTCTCCAAAATGTGCAAGTCAAGACTCAAGAACTAATTTAATCTGTTATAGAGACAT